GGGGTTTTGGGTGGCCCCCCAGCACCTCTAGCTACACCGCGTTCCCCTCTTCTGAGAAACGGTGTGAGGGCGAGACAGGCAGACGTGGGAAAAGTCAGTGTGTCGTGTTGTGTGGAAGCTGTGGCTGTGGGGAAAGCGTAGCACCAGGTCAGCGGAAGCAGAAAAAGGTAATTGCCAGGGATGCCACTTCGACCAGTTTGGGGACAGGACTACTGAAGTGCCAGCCCCAGTGTTTTGGTCGCTGCTTGCGGCCCTTCTCCCTAGCAGGGGGCTGGCTCGCTCTACCTTTTCCCTGCTGTCGTTAGAGCAGGTCAGAGCCTGGGTTCCTGCGCGCTCGCTGGAGATGAAAACCGTACGGAGTTCGGTAAAGACGAACAAAAAAAGGGGGAAGGCTTGGGGGGGTGCTGAAAACGTCTGACTGTCTTTTGGTGTCTCTCGTAGGTTTTATCAGCAGCTGCAGCTGCTGGTGTGTCTGTAGCTTTTGGTGCACCGATCGGAGGAGTGCTCTTTAGCCTGGAAGAGGTAACATCAGCATTTTCTATTCGCTCTTGGCGAGCTGTTTTATTGCAAGAACTGACCCCGCTGGTTTAAAAATGCAGTCCGCTCATAACTGCTTGGGTGTGGAAAGGAGACCCTGTTGAATACTGATTGGTGGTGTGCTTACAAGGCCAAGCAACCTAAAAGCTTATTGGGGTTTCAGGTAATTCTTACAAATACTGGAGAGTTTATTTTGGATGATGTCTATCCGTAGCTTTGCGATAAACCTGTTGGTTTCCCCTGGTCTGTCCGCGCTCAGCGACACTGACTGCTCGCAGCCACAGCCTCTGTCGTGTTTTTTCCCCTGTGTCCGCCCTCTCCTAACAGCTCTGTCCCAGGGTACCAGGCAACAGACTCACTGCCTTATCAAACCCCTTTTCTTCCCAGGGAACTTCTAAGCCTCGTTCTTTTGATCCAGACGTGACCTGGATCGCTGCCGCTTGCTTCAGGGCCTAGCTCAGGGGAGGAACGGGAGGGTGTTGCTCCGCGGAGCCGCAGCCGTGGCGAGCACTGCTGTGTGGCACTTCGGGGCTTTGCAGGGCGTGCGAGGCAAGCGGTTCTCGGGGTTCAGCTCGTAGCTGGTCTGTCGCAGCTCGTGTTATCCGAGTAAGTCACCCCCGCGTCGGGGATCGCAGAGGGCGCTCGCTGCGCTGGAAGCGCGCGGGCCAGGCCCCATCGTTGCAGCCCCCGTTGAACGGGAGCTCGGAACGACGCCTGGGGTGCTGGGCTGGAGAGGAGGGGGCACGTGGGTCTCCGTCCTCGCTTGTCCTCCCTGCAGTGCTGACTTCGGTGCTGGGCAGCGGCGGGTGCAGGGCCAAGGGTTGAAGTGACTGGATCTGCTTCCTCCTTCAGGTCAGCTACTACTTTCCCCTCAAGACGCTGTGGCGCTCCTTCTTCGCGGCTCTGGTCGCTGCGTTCACCCTGCGCTCCATCAACCCTTTCGGCAACAGCCGCCTGGTTCTCTTCTACGTGGAGTTTCACATGCCGTGGCACCTGCTGGAGCTCGTGCCCTTCATCCTGCTGGGGATCTTCGGTGGCCTTTGGGGAGCTTTCTTCATCCGCAGCAACATCGCCTGGTGCAGGCGGCGCAAGACGACCAAGCTCGGGAAATACCCGGTGCTGGAGGTGTTTGTGGTGACGGCGATCACGGCCGTGCTGGCCTTCCCCAACGAGTACACCAGAATGAGCACCAGCGAGCTGATCTCCGAGCTCTTCAACGACTGCGGGATCTTGGACTCCTCCAAGCTCTGCGAGTACGTCAACGATTTCAACAGCACCAAAGGGGATGACCTGCCGGACCGGGCTGCCGGCCCAGGGGTTTACACCGCCCTGTGGCAGCTGGCTCTGGCCCTTGTCATGAAAGTCTTCATCACGATCTTCACCTTTGGCATGAAGGTGAGAACTGCCTGTAAATGAGCTCGCGTTCTCCTCCTCCTCTGCAGGAACCCCAGGCCGTAGAGTTTTATCTGCTCAATAAACAGACAAACGTTTTCCTCCCCAGGCCCTGTTAAGAAGGGGGCGAGGCGACAGACTGCAGTTATTTGTTCTGTTGCTCGTACCCAAGGGCAGTGGAAACCTTTTAGCTGAGCGTGGGCACCAGGGGCAGTCACTGAGGCTGGTGTCTCTGGGCTTCTTGACCCGTTTTCCAAACGCAGGATGGCTCTAAATCATCCTGCCTTGAGCCTTTTGGATATAGATTTTATAGCTGAGGGCAAAGCAGTCGGTATCTTCATTTGTAAACGCTTATTTATCGCCATTCCCCGCTCAGACGGTTCTGAACCCGTCTGGTGGCAGCCTCCCGAGCTGTGGATGTGGTGCCTAGGTCTGAGCTCTCCTGCAGCGGGGTTCAGCTTCATCTCCCCCTGCCCCTCCAGCGGTCCAGCCAGAAAGGTGACCCCACCGCAGAGGGTTGGATGCCATTGTTGCCGTGAGGTGGTCGCTGACGCTCAAAGGCAATCGTCAAGTCTGTGGGAGAGGTGTACAAGGCGTGAGAAAGCTGTGTGAGAAAGGAGGGGGAGATTCTCTGACTCCAAAGAACAGGAGCTTTCGGAGTCCTGAGCAGCTGGAGTGCAGAGGTGAAACCTGCCGGCCGTGGCTCTGCAGGGTGTCACTTGTGCCGTGTGTGCTAATTCCGGCCACCCTCGCCTCACTGTGGAGTTTCAGCTTCTACCAGGGAAGGAGGATGGTTCCCCTCCCAGCAGGTGAATCCAGCAGGGTGGGAAAATCCCGTGTGGGCAATGAAACCCGTACTGGTGTGGCTGGAAAGGCACGGGGGAGCGTTAGCGGCGTGCAGGCGGAGCTTTGCTATACTCCCTTGGGAAGTAAGCTTTGGAAAAAAGCTTGTCCTGTTCCACGCTGACGTCTGGTGTGGCTGTTCCTCCCGCTCAGGCAGGACTTCAGCCCAAACTCTGTTGCAGGAGGGTGCAGGAAGGGCAGAGGGGACCGAGCGAGGCGCCTCGCCAGGCCGAACGTCAGCGCGACCTCGAGCTCGGCCCTGCCTTGAACTTCCACCTGCGAAGCGCCCGCGGAACGGGGCGCTCACCGCTGCCTGTCTCCCCAGGTCCCCTCGGGCCTCTTCATCCCCAGCATGGCGGTGGGCGCGATCGCCGGCAGGCTGCTGGGGGTGGCCGTGGAGCAGCTGGCCTACTACCACCACGACT